CGCGAGATCAACACACAGTCGCTCGGGTCGACCGAGCTGGGAGATCCAGATCAAGGACTGGGATCCTCATTCTGTATACATTGTCGGAGCGCCGAGACTCCGGGAAGTTCATTGACGCGCACTTAAACCTTATTAGGGATGAGATTCCGGAAGTCGTTCGCGGAAACTCGTCTCATTCATCCAATTACGATTCGACTCATACAACGTGTCATAGGGGTGCCCATATTCTCTTGGGCGAGTGACTCCAGAGGGAGCTCGAATAAGCCTTGAACGGTATCACACTGAGCATGAACTCCTCTGTCTCGAGTACGGCGACGGAGCTTTTGCGTTTGTTTCCCGTAGGAACAGCATATTGAGGCGCGGCCGAAGACTTTTCACGTCTGGTGGGGACTCATTGTTTAATACCGTCCATAGAGGCATACCTAGGGGAAAGCTCGAATTCAATATGAAGGAAGAATAGTAATGTGAAATCAGCACGTTAATGAAAAGCGCTGGAATCGACAAAACGGTGGAGGCTCGTTCAAAGGGGTAATCTCTGCTTACAGATCAGTCGCGTATCGGAAAATCGCAGAATTCTAAATTGTTCACTGGATGAAAGTCGTTTGACATTTGTAAACAGAAGGGAATCAAGTATTTCAGAAGTATTCCTCGAAGATTGAGACGCGTCTGCGCGTCGTGCCATGGAGAGGTTGTCGACTGAAGTTGCGGAGCCTTGCGATTCGGTAACGTTTGATAGGCGTTACTATCATCTTTTGACTCACCGATCCCGTCGACGAATATCGAAGTCATGCGAGAGGAGCGATTACTCTACCGGCGGGAGGTCCAGACAAATTATCGAGTAGAGCTGTCGGAAAGAACGGGGAAGCATCATTATCATTAGAAATATTCCCTTGCTTGAAATACCGATATCTAGTCAGGAATACACAAATCGACATCGGAGCGAGTCGGCCACGATGACATCACGCGTTTACATAGTGGGTGAGACGCGACTTTCCTGACGTGCATCTTGGGGGAAGCTGACAAAAAACATCAAGTCGCTCTCCGCGAGACTATGCCGCGTCCATCGAGTTCAATCTGCGGTAGAATAGCCCGCGAAAAACTGTAGAAAAGCTGCGGAGTGAAGGATGCGCATAGCGCTCAAGAGTAAGGGAGTTGCTAGGGGTACATCAAGTCGAAGTACCTGAGCGAAAATGTGGGGCGACAGCCGTGCCATAGGGCAATAGGCAGAGAAGGCGGTCATGATGCATTATTGATGACGCGAAATTATACTTTGAGATGACGGAATATCTGGCAGATTCGGGGAGTATGTAGCAAGTTTAGACTTGACCCATCGAAATTCCATAGGTTCAATGAGAAACATCCTGGCGAGTCGCCTGTCAAAATTTGGCGGCAATCGCGAATCAGCCCGACGCGACGTAGCTGTGATAGAGCTCGACGTGAAGGACAGACGGCATTTATATGGAAGAGTCGGGGTACGGTACATGGGATCCCTAGGCCACGCAGGAGCGGCAGAATCGCAGAGCTCCTCTGACTCCGCGCCGAGCGGCCTATGGCACCACCCCCGCAACTTCGACCTATTCCCCCATGTTCCTCCTCTTCCATTTCCACCCCCCCCTCCCCCCTTCTGATTCATTCTCCCTGTGGAAGACACATTTCCCGACGATCATAGACAGATGCTGAGAGCCCCCGTGAAGGGCGAGTACGCAGCGTGCTTTTCCAGTGTTTCTCGTAAGCTCGCGGAAGCCAAAGGAGCGAAAACCAACGAAGAATCAACCGCGAGAGAGAAGCGTTCCTTTATTCCGACATCGAGAATGCGCGGTGACGATGTTACTATGACAATACCGCATCATGCAGAACTTGACGCGAACTTCACCAGCTCCATGGTCGGAAAACACTCATCGATCGACCAGTTACTTCCTCCGCTTATCCACTGGGATCTTTTATTCGAGGGAACCGGCCTGCTGTCGTAGACGGACAGACCTTCGAAGTCCACTCGCCTATTCGGATGCATGCGAACTGTTCCTGCCGTGAAAAAGCAATCAGCCCCAAATGCGGCTCGCAGCGCGCAGGGACCCACATCGTGCGAGCTACCGGGGAGTCCGTCGGAGAGAACCAGCTGGCAGGCAATATGCGCGCAAAACACCTCTAGATAAGTTCCTCGAGTCACTATGCTCGCGGCCGGAAACAGAATCCCGTCCATTGTCGTCGTCGTCAACTTGGCAGTTCGTGCCTCCGATGTCAATATACAGTAAATTGGCGGAGGAGAAGAGTGAATTCTCCTTTGTGGAGCAGGAAAAAAGCGTGGCTTGTTCCCCTAGAATAAGCGAGAGTGCGAGAAGACACCCAAGAAACTCATCTCGGTCATGCAGATTTACCGTATCATTAGTTTCGGTAAAGCACCATTCATTCGCGACAGGAGTTTTCATCTTGAAACCTCAGCCGAAGGGAATGGAAATTCGAGGCTCCGTCGAGGAAATTACTCCATTCGTGGTTGCTGCGCTCATTCTATCAGGACGGGTTGATGAAAATTTCCGAAGGATCGAGAGGACTGAAATTCGAGGAGAACGATCGATTGTCCGCAGAATGATTCTTGGAATAGATAATAAGATGATATACAAACTTTCGAGAAATGACTCGAGACGGGACCAGGAGCGCGACTCTCCGACACAGTATCCATAAGAGAAAGACCATGAAATTTTCGAGGCTGCGTGACCCCTTTCTTGGGATCGACGGATATTGAGTGCCAGCCGATGTGTTAATCCGTAGCTTCCGGCAGACCCTCGCAGAAATCAGGGACTACAGTCGCGGTAAAACGGAACAGGGGACCGCCTCAATCTTAACCTTCTCGCGCGGGTAAACTAAGGGTCCGCAATGGAGTATTTTCGCATAGCCGGTTTTCGTTCGTCCCACCATATTCACCGTGGTCCAATGATTGGTTCTCCTAGGGTGCGTCCCGGGCGCGGGATCATTCGTCCACCTGATGAGTTTCCCTTTGACCTTGATACATCCTGGAGGCCGCGAGGAGCAAATTTTCGGATAGGTAATCCGCTCATGGTTCTACAAACTCGAGATACTAGCGACTACTAAACGCATTCCTTGCGAACAGAAATACGACGCTGATCCTGCCCACCCTGTAGTTTACCGCTCACCGACAGTGATTTTCGTTGGAGTGACGGAAACCCTGACTCAGATGGACTGCGGGCAGTGCCTGGATCAACACGACTCATTATTGGTGAGAGCGGAAGAACGTGGGGAAGAAGCGAAGGATTGTCATCATGAGAAGACTGACAACAAGAACGACCTTTGCGGACAGATAAATTGGATACACGCAGTCTATTTAGTGCAGGGATCGGGTTCGATTTGTTTACAAGCTACTAATACAATGTGAATGAGGTCAGCTACACAATATATATATTTATCGTATATCGCAAGCTCTAAACTCTCGACTTTATAACTTGAGCTGCCGAAGTGGCTCCGGAAGAGCGCTTACGCAGCGAATTATTCCGCATGGTTAAGTCCAACGCAGCGCGAGCGTCATTATCGGAAACACCGCGTCTAGCGATCGCTCCGGGAACATTTTTTCTCGCGGGAAGCGGCTGAGCGTGGGAGAACAGGCTTATTGAGATTTTTAGTTGAATCCCCGCTCGGGGGGAAATTCGCTTCGGGATGTGTGCTCACTCGGTTCCCCCTCCGATCGCGGCTCAGCACCTCCGCTGGAAGAGAAGTTCGACCAACCACTTTCCTGAGAGCCTTAGGAATGCACGGATTTCCCAGAGAGAATATTCGATTCTTCGAGGTACCTAAGGAAACCGAGATGATTTCTCTCTTACAGGTGCGAAAGCGAGGATGCAGCCGCCGAAATCACAGTATCTGCAAGTGCCTTTCGGGAGTCCGGTCGGCAGGTCGGATCCGGCGATAAACCGCGATGCCGCGACTCCTTCCAGACATTCATCGTTGCCGGCGCCTTTAACGAACAGTGCGTGTTTAGTGATGCTCGACACGATGGCATTGGGGCTTTCGCACTCTTTGGGCAACGTTCACATTGGCAATGGCTTTCAATTTCCGCTTGAACTCAATAACTGTGACTGTAAGAGCCTTTCAAATCTTCCCTCGAGCTTTCGATACAAGTAAACGCTTCCTTCGCTGCCTCCACGCTATTGCTTTTGTTATTCTTGATGGCAGCAGGTTAGATAGATAGAAAAATAGAAACGAAATCGGTGAGCACTGGTCTCTTCGAGTTTGCTCGTGCTCCGTACGGCTGTCCGTAGACCGGCCGATATTCCCTGGGCCGTAGGAGCCCGAGCGTACTTATATACTCTGCGGTCACTCTGCTCGAGTTAGGTGTGCTCAGCGGGTCCGCCGTTGCTAGGGGTGCCACACATCGTAGATTGGCCGCCTATTATGATGCGATCGAGTGTGCAGGTACATTGATCCACCGTCCTTCAATATAAGGATACACTTATATACACACTGTGACGGCGCTTTTTACTGCTTAGCGCGCGTCGTTCCCCGCTGGTGTCTGGCTCCCTCTGCACAGTCAGCGATCGGCGAACATTATGATGATGAATGAAGCTGCGCGTCTGTCTGAATAATTCTTCAACTCCGTGCCGGAGGCTCAGCGCGAGCAGGACAGAAAACTCAATCTCGAAACAGATCGAGCGGATCGATGAATCGGTCTGAATCATTCTCTGAAGCCGAACGAGGCGGACCCAGTAGAGTGTTCACCGATTCGGGCCGATCTTGACATTCAGAGACACCATTTCAGAGCTCGGTTAGCGTAATCCACTGCAAGCGCTAGCTTCGACCGAATTTCCGGCGATGTCCGCCTTTAGCAAACCCATGCTTCGTTTAGAAAAAATGCTCGCATCGCGGTTTTCATTGTCGATAATATTTTTCTTCCCCGACGGAATCGACTAGATTTGCTACCTCCTGACGTCGACTTCACCGCTTTGGAGCAGAATTCGTCGAGATCCACTCGGAGTTCGGTATGTTCGGAGATCATGAGGGTGGATTATCCCGAGCCGAGAGAATCGAAGGGCCGCTTCGCCAAATGCGTCACAAGGCTGAGGGTAAGTTCTGAGTGTCGCGACATGCGACAAATTTCAGCGACTACAGACTTGCCCTCGATATCTTCGCGGAGTACATCCTCCGGAAGCACCCGAGTCCGATCACTGGATGATTTCCGGAGCTCCAGATGGTCGATAGTGTCGGCCCACGAAGACGACTCTCCCAGAACTTCAACCATAGAAGTTCTTTTTAGACAATCAAAAAGTGGCTGATCAGTCCGCGAAAGCCAAGTCAGGCGCCACGTCCCGACTCTTTTCTGGAGAAATTCACCTATACCGACACGGCGGAAGGAATCGTAGAAGGGATTCTCTTGAATGACAGCAATGGAGACATCTCCCCGACCGTTAACCGGAGGTGAGTGTTTAGTTTCGAGGTTCCGAGGGGAACCCGGAGAAAACAAAAATTCGCTGATCAGTACCTCGGATAGGATGTCCCTGAAAAGCTGCGACACTCAGGGCTTATCCAAAGTGTACTAATGGAGCTGGGTGAGAAGCAACGAGTGGCGGCCCGTGCTCTTTGTAATGGGGGTTCTTTCGGAACCTGGCGTGACCTCTTGCCCGAGAGACTTCATTACCTGACACTCCGAACGCTCCAATTGTCACGACACAGTCCCAAGCCGAAGGTTCCGCGGATAGTATTGCCGGCTGAGCGTCGACATATCTGGGGACGTCTCTGACACCGATAATAACCGACCGTGTTGAGCTCCCAGACGGACGCGCTGCGATGTACCATGCCAGTGTACAGATTCCGAACATCGAGAGTAAAGCACGTCCCGTTTTCTGTCAACGGCATCGGATCGGTGCGGATGAGCTCGGATTCTTGTGAGCCTTCAGACCCCCCTTCGGTGTCCTTCCCATTAGGATTACGATGGTCCACCACCGCCGTGTCGATCGCAAATTGAATCCTTGACCGAGCCAAGAGCCATGGGAAGTCGATTCCATTCATGAACCATAAGTGAATTAGTCCATTGCTGTGTATTGGACCTCTTTAGGAAGCATGGATTGGATATTGAGGAAAGCTCGCGAACGCTTCGGAAGGCCACGACGAGTTCCGTTCCCCGGTGCGCCGACGAGTCACGATGCATCCAAAAGGTTTCAATTTTACTCTCAGCTTTTGTGATCAAGCTTTGAAGGTCCGTGCATTTGGAGCGGATTCCCCACTAAGCGAATTCGGAACCGCCGATAAATATCGAAGAATACTGTATCTTGACGGTCCGTGGAGCTTTCACTTCTTCACACGACCCCGGTTTGATAGAAGCCCAAGTCTCGTTGGCTCTGACTCGAGGACGTCTCCTCCTTAAAGGGTCTGATGGGCAGTCTTCCCGGGAAATTCATCATTTCTCCGGAGATTCTCGCTCAAGCCGAAAATTTCATTCTGAGGTGGAGAGAAGGTCAAAACTGTCGAAAGTCTATGAGCATTAGATCGCGACCATAGGCATAAAGGGAATGACATGTGTCGTATAGGTTGGGGGAACATGCATGCAGGCGGAAATCGGAAAATTCAGTGTCCGGGATCGATCGGGGAAAATGATCGCCAGTATTTGAATCCGCTCTCTCCTATGTGAGCCTTGCTCATCATGTCTGCTCCCTCTATCGCGGGCGAATGATGTCATGAGTCATGTCAAACGCGATCATTCTCCGTACTATTGCTCGGTACGCTTGATGTGAGGAGGAACAGGACGACAAGACTCGCCCTTTGAAAGACTCCGCAGTGATTTCCCAGGAGGAGAAGAACTCGCGCATCTTTTGGTGGGTTTCTTTCGGATCAGATGTCGTTTGCTCATATCTCAGTCGCACCCTTCGTCGAGCAGGCCCGACCACAGCTAGTCGTTTCTACCGTGTGTGAGCGGTTCTAGCCCATGCTCCGATGGGGGTCCTCAGAGTATTCGATTCTGCACGTTCAGCCGAGTCTGTTCGAGGGGCATGGACTTTCAGTCCCTGAGATTTCGTTGACAACGTCTGGCTTGACTCGAAAAATTCTCAAAACGAGAGGATTTATTTCGAGAGTGGATTTCTCTTTTTCAGCGGTTGTGGATTGTCACCCGGAGACTGGATTGTGGATCCGTCGGACTCCTTCTACTACACGTGTCTTTTCGTTGTGTCGCTTGCCGTTCTTTACAACACGTTGTTTATCATAGGACGAGCAGTGTTCTGGGAGCTGCAGAATACATCACCGGGGCTGTGGTTCGCCTTGGACTATTTATGTGATCTCGTCTATATTCTCGATATGTGTCTCCGAGCAAGAACCGGTGAGTGAGATACGCTCCGGGCGCGACGCGATCAGGAAATACCTTGGTCGCGCGAAGAGTACGCGTCTCAGATACAATCAAGATCCAGAAAAAACGTGGCGTCGAGAGACTGTGGGGCATGGATACAGTCCCTGATGTTGATTCTCTCCCAGGGAGTTTTCGCAGCGGAGAATTTTTGGATTCTCTAGTCGTCATCTCTGTCCCAGGCCGACGCCGTATGAATTGTCCATTCACAAGAGTCAGGGGACAGGGCCACCGAATGGCTTCTCATCGAATTGATCGGTGCTTGCTCCTACGATGACGCTGAATGTAGATCCCTCGGCTCCGAGGTTTTTCACTCTTTCTTGAGAACTTTACAGCCAAAGCCTTGGATCTCTTCAGGATACTTGGAACAAGGGCTACTGGTCAAGGACACCGACAAGCTTTTGCTGCGCTACATGAAATCAACCGCTTTCCGACTCGATATTTGCTCGCTGCTCCCAACCGACCTGTTCTATGCCTACTCGGGGGTGAACTGCACCGCCGAGAACGTACCTTGCGTTATCATCGTTCGTTTGAATCGTCTACTGCGCATCCCAAGAGCTCTCGAGTTCTCTGAGCGAACAGAAACCCGAACAAATTATCCCTACGCTTTTCGTATAGGTAAGGATTTTCAAGCCCCGTGGCGTTACGTACCGAGGGATATGTTCCCCACAGCGAGTAAAAGAAGAGATTCATATATTCGCTGCGTCTCTGATTAGTTTTTGAAGAAATGGAGCAATTCGCTCGGTCGGCTTTTTATCAACCTTTTCTTATCCGAGAATAATGTGCGGCGGCTAATGATAAGTTCTCGGAGAGTTCTCTCCGGAGCATCTACACGTAAATCCAGCCTTTGCTTCACAATTGACAGCTGAACATCTGATTGGGCCGCCAGGTAAACTCATCTTCCTGATTCTCGTGATCATTCACTGGAATGCCTGCATCTACTTCGCTGTCAGCTCTTTCATTGGGTTCGGATCCGACAACTGGGTCTACCGGAATATATCAGAACCACGATTCGCTAATCTGAGACATCAATACATCTACTCATTCTATTGGTCGACTTTGACGTTGACAACTATCGGAGAGGTCAGTGAACACTTTCAGGAAACTTTGCTGAAACTTTCGACCGATAAAAATGACGGATCCCCGACTTATCAAGCGTGGACGCTCGACGTTCCGTGAGCAGAGATGTGTCGGACCGAATTTTTTGACCCGAAAATCCCGCCTTCCCCCCTTCCACAAGACGACTCGGCTCCGTCGCGACTTCCGCCGTACTCCGAAGTAATCGGAGCTGGAGTTGTTCGTTTTTTTCCCGGTGTCTCTTCAGTCATATCCGCTTCCGTCGCGTTACGCAGACGTCCTTCGGCGATCTCGACTGAGAGATCCGCCCTCGGAACATCGGGGGTTGTTCGTTTTTGGAGAAAGAAAGCGTCCTGTGCGGCAGAAATACAGAAGCTATATTGTTTTCCACCCTTCCGCATTAGGTGCCCGTCCCCGAAAAAGACAGTGAATACGTTTTCGTCGTGATTGACTTCCTCGTCGGCGTCTTAATTTTCGCCACTATCGTCGGTAATGTCGGATCGATGATTACGAACATGAACGCCGCCAGGGCCGATTTTCAGCACAAGATGGACTCCGTCAAGCAGTACATGGAGTTCCGGTGAGGACAAGCCTTTCGTAGCATTCACCGACCATATCTGATGTTTACTTAGCTCTTTCGAGATGCTTCGAAGCCCGAGGTCGGTATCCGAGCGAATTTGAGCCGAGCTATCTCCGGCAGGAAAGTCTCGAAGGAACTAGAAAATCGCGTAATAAAATGGTTCGACTATCTCTGGACGAACAAACAATCTCTGGACGAGGAGCGCATAACTGGCGTGCTCCCGGATAAACTCAAGGCAGAGATCGCAATACACGTCCACCTCGACACGCTCAAGCGTGTGAAGCTATTCCAGGTGAGGTATCTTGATTTTACTGAGAGCGACCAGCGTCGAGAGAGCAGCTTCTCAGGAATCATCGAAAATTCTGATGAGCGAGAATCGTCGGGAGAAATCCCGCGTCTAATCGGACCGAGCGGGGCGATCGCAGATTTTCTCCGTTGTGTTTTTGTCTGGTAATTTTAGTCGAATCAGACTGCCTGACATGATTTCATTGCTCCGCTCTGTTCGAAGCTTCCTGAACCATATCGAGTCTCCGAAGTACTCGCCTCCTATGACAGCTCTCGAAAGAGGAGCATATAAGGCGAGAGCGGATGATATCTAACTTTGTTTTCCTCCCGACTCCTCCTTTATTTCTAGAAATTCGCCGTATGTATGTTATGTTGTCCAATCATCCCACAGAAAATTACTATTATTATTACTATGAGCGCAACTAAAATCTCTCGCCCGCGATGACATTCTCAGCGTGTTGACATGGGCTAACCGATTCGCTATATTGAATTCAGGACTGTGAACCAGGGCTCCTCGTTCAACTCGTTCTGAAGCTCCGGCTCCAAGTGAGTGTCAGGTCAAAAGCCATATCGGGGTGAGGTTTGAATTCTCAAATGAATAATTCAGGTCGAACTTTGAAACGATCTCAACTCATTTCTTCCCTGAACTTGCCCCGGAATGTGGATTGCGTAACTTTCCGGCAGAAACAATGACGCGTTCAGAGTCAGGATCGAATAATTCAGAGCCCGTATCGTCATCAAAGCTCGATCAACGTCTTTTGCCTCCGACCTCAGATACTTTCCCTAGCGGGTTCCGAGGCTCATAGGGCTCTACCAGAGCTAGACCTCCGGAGTCGTCCTGACTGCCGAAACTTGCTCACAGGTGTTCAGTCCGGGCGACTACATATGTCGCAAGGGGGACGTCGGCAAGGAGATGTACATCGTTAAACGAGGGAAACTCTGCGTAGTCGGAGATGACGGAAAAACGGTCTTCGCTACGCTACAGGACGGCAGCGTGTTCGGTGAATTATCCATCCTGAACATACAGGGAAACAAGACAGGTGAGTCTCATCGCCTCGCGAGATCTATGTCTGATCCACGTCCGGTCAATTGAATTTCTCGACTCACGCAGTACATACCCCCCCACATCCTTATTCATTAAAAATATATGATTCAGTGTTAATTATTACCTATTCCCTATTACCCATGTGTTATTATGGAATAAATATATCCCCATATGGACTCCATCCTGTGGGAAAATTCCCCTGGGGAACTCTAAGGAAATTGCTGAATTCCCTCGCAGGAAACCGACGAACCGCGAATGTCCGGAGCCAGGGTTACTCCGATCTTTTCGTGTTATCAAAAGAAGATCTCTGGAGTGTGCTGGAAGAATACCCCGAAGCCAAGGAGATGCTAATTCGGAAGGGAACAGAAATTCTCCGGAGAGACGGCCTCCTCGATGAGGACGCTATTATTAAGGTTCGCGATAGACGCCCCGATAAGGGTTGAATTTCTTTGAATGGCTGCTCGATGGCGGCTCTGAAAGTCAGACGGAGAAGACACCTTGATGCTCATAAGCCTTTTCAAGGGGACTACGCTGGTCTTGCACACGCCTGTCATGTCAAATATCAGTCTATTTATTGTCGTTTCAGGACGAAGAGAGCATCCTCTCTGCGCAGGATCTCACCAACAATTGTCTCAATCTGGCCCGTCAGATGGACGCTCTCAAGGACCAGATGACAGCTTTGTCCCAGGAAATGGATAGAGCCCATCGAGAGATTCGAGAGAGCATACGATCCTTAATTACTAAGAAAATTGACGAAGAAGGCATTCCCGTCGCCGTCGACTGAAGATGGCAGCGATTCGCTTGCGATTGAGTGTGATGAATACAATAATTTTGTATTAAATGGGTTCGATCGGGCTCGACTTCCATACAGTTCGATCGTGGCTCGTTGCAGTCTGGAGGACGTTCTCTTCAAACGCACACATTCTAAATCTCATCTAAATTCAGAGAAAAATGTTTTCTCTGACTTTAGACCGAAAGCTGGTGCAGCTCCCAGAGTTCCGGTGCATACGTAGCCTAATCGCGGTCGGGGGCCCAGCAGCGAGACGTGAAATTCCTTTCCACTTCTCAGATCTCCCCGATGAGGCTTCGGAGATGTTGGGCTCTTCCCGTGCGTGAATTGTCCAACTCCCCTCATTCCTGGATGCACCTTTATCCTTGATGCTTACACCCACTATCCGCAACAAGTATCGCGCACTCCGATGAGAACTACTAGGTAATTGTAAACGTTTCGGTATCTGTAGCATGAGAGTGTTCTTCGGAACTTGGCATCAGTGCCTCGAAACGAGGTTCTGCTGGAATGAAATGCTAAGTCTATTTTGCTTTCTTCCGGTAGACTTCGGAGACTATGATAGCGACGAATCGTTCACGTCCAATCTTTCATCACAAGTTCTTTCGCTTGTAAATACCGGAAAGTAAATGTATAGTAAGCGTCTAGACTGGGCTCTGAGCTCGTGTACAATATTTCGGAGCTCTTGGGACACTCGGAAGCATGTTCCTTCATGATTGGAAAAAAATGGGGGAAAATATGGTATAGACCCAGTAAGCCGAAACTTTCACGCCGAAACCCAGGAAGCCGAAACCTGGAACGCCGAAATTCGCGGTATCCTGTATAGAATCGCCGTGCCCTTTCGGTCATTCTCTCCGAGAATTCACTCCGCTCGACCGTACCGAGTAGAAATTTCCGAATGGTGCACGAAATGGACATGAGCATAAAAATACCCGGTTATCAATCCAATAAACAGAATTATTAGCGTGAAAGCTGTTCGATGACTGAGGTACCACCAGATGTAGCCGCTTCTCAATCTGACTGCAACCCGGCCTGTGTCTTTATCAGGCACGAGCCGGGAGGGCGCTCCGCGCCCTCGCGGCTCAATTGCCCGCACGCCGGATGCGATTCTATCCAAGGCCCGAGCGAGTTTGTCGAGTGATTACGACGGAAAGCGTGATACCGATTCGCAATGAATGAGTACGACACCAAAGAGCATGAACACATGAATTAGCATGAGAAAAATGATGCGATGCTTTCGCAGGCCTGAACGAATTTGTCGTGAGTAATCGGCAGTTATTGTTCTGAGGAATATCTGATATGGAGATTCCCTTTGTCCGATGTATGCCTATCTGATATCTGAATGATAGCACGACGCATGAGCATTCACAACTGTGCTTACAGTTTGGAATCTCTATTCACGGGTCGATTCGCGGGCGAATTGAAGCAACGCCTCCGACTTATCTTGGGCATGGCGAATTCAATGAGGAGACCTCTGAGCCTCGTGACGAAACTCCACAGATCACAAAAAAACACTGCTTAGGTCTCTCGTACTTGTCACTGAATCTCTCGAAGAATGTAGGCAAACCGCGCATGAGTCCCAAAGTTCTTTTTGTCGAAGATGTTCACGACAGAAAACTCTGATTGGAGTTCAAAAAGATATATGGATGCAGAGTCGGACTCTCCCATCGCTCCCATGGAGCAGGAGAAATGATTGCACAGTAATGAAACAGGTGAAATATATGGGCATCGCTTATCAGATACGCTAAAGAATTATAGAAGACATTTTGGAAAGCATTACGTTCGATCTCGTGGCTCTCGATTCTCCTCTGATGATCGAGTGGAGAACCCCGATATTTGGTTCAATGCCGGACCGATATTACTGCTTTATTCTATAGGGGGAGAAATTATCATTATCAAATTAGATCATGCTGAAATTAGTAGGCTGCTGCGACGTCTCTCGAATCGCGCGCCTTGCCGGAACGGTCGTGGCATCATGTGGAGAGAAGTGGTGGAGAGGATTTCGTTTCCAGCGAACACTGGAGAAAAACTTGATAATTTTCCGGAATAACTCGAGAACGATGCGATTGATCGAGTGGAAAAGTACTTCTTACGCTAGCGGGAATGATTCGGCATCGAGTCAAAGTAACTTGAAGTCTTTTGACAGACAAATAACCCCGATATTTGGTACAATGACGGACCGACATTACTGCTTTATTCTATAGGGGAATGCCAACTCAACCGGTTCCGCTATACGCTATGATAGCTTCGCGTTCCTGAGGAGTCCTGAGTCCGCGAGAGAGAGTGGCGCAACTTGCCGAACTCTGAATTGGCTAGTTTCACCGTTGGAAGGGCTCGGAATAGCGACGAAACTTTGAAGGATGTGAGGATTCTTTGAGGATTTCCCCCCGTTTCTCAGCAGTTCCCAGTACAGCCGGTGCTTGACTGGAGAAGTCCCGGGCACCGTTGAGACAGCATTGCGTTGATGGTGAGAGATCCATCCAGATAGACGGACAGCGGACTCGGTGCCTACAAGATTCGACCCGAGCTCCACCGTTCCGGGCACTCCTCTGGCCGAGCGCTCCGCGATGAATCTCACTAGGAATCCGAGGCATCTCGAAGAGGAGACATGGAGCAGATCAAATGACTTGAGGCGAAGAATCGACTCCTTCCTTTGGGGTACAAATCGGCGGTTCTCGACGACGGCTGATCTGAGGCACAAACCTCCTCGGATACCGGTCGACACCGAATGCTGTTGACCACAGACCGGAAAGGATCGGTAGAGCAGATATCGTCATGATCTGATCGCGACAATCCCCCTCATCACCGTCGACACGAGCCACCTATAATAATATGGGAGATCTCCACCGAGTCACTTTGCCGCCAGACTTCCATTCGAATCACAAGCGCGGTATCCAACAACGCTCGAAGCCGGTACGCGGAAAAACCAAACATCATCATCATCATCACCGGGTCACATAGAAATCATCAGTTTTCCGTGGCGAAATGTCGTTTTTCTTGAAATCCCTTGCTCGCACCGCTTCCTGCCTCAGCCGCCAGGTACCGAGCAGGAGTCTCCATGTCGCTCCACGCTTGCTCGCAGCTCAGGTGCGTGAGTAATCGAATACAGTTCTCTAGCGTGAAAAAATAAGTTCCTTCCTTTGATTCATCGCAGACAAAGACTGCGCGGATAATTTTCGCTCCGAGCTGAGTCAAACGCCTCGCCCGGAAGAAATTTCCGCCTCGAGACTGGAGGGAGCCGTGAAGGCAGGATTCCTGATAGACACCCAGTCTACTGATGATACGGAGGATTCATTCGAACTCCTCGGTGATTGAGCTCCGCCAGAGTTCATGCTCGAGCGGTCGGGGTTCTCCAATCGTCCCGTGCGATGCGCGACGGCCTAGTCAAGTTCCGTTGGTCGAGCTGTCTGAGCCTCTGGATCAACCTTTGTGGACGCTCCTCCGAGAGCAAAGCAGAGGCTGACGCGCGGGCCGAGTTCGAACCCTGGAGCCGGAAACATTTTCTCAAAGAGAGTTAATCTCTCGAATCGCTGTTGACGGTATTCATTACCATGAATCATCCGAAGAATTGAGGCTCGATTGGAGCCGGCCGAAAGAGAACCTCAGGATCGTGGCCCATGTGTTCACATGTAACTGTTTGTGCACTCATAAAGCCCTTAGTGGATCCGTAAAACGATTCGTGGAGTATCTGAGGTATCGTCGTCTCATGGGCGATACCTTCGTTCCCTCCAGAACACCTTCTGTCGATGTTTTTTGAATAGAAGTCCCTACGGATTTTATCGAATGTCATCCGTTGCGACGCCCTGATGATCCGTGTGGGGGCTATCGGCGACCAGAGAAACTCTCTAGGCGACCTAAATTTTTGGGGATTTCTGCGGGAGATATCTCCGATATTGACTATTCCAGGTCACTCAGCCGGCGCCGAACTTCAAGGGCAAGGCCGTCGTCGATGGGCAGTTCAAGGATATCCAGCTAGCCGACTATCAGGGGAAATATCTGGTTTTGTTCTTCTATCCTCTCGACTTCACATTCGTCTGCCCCACAGAAATCATCGCGTTCTCGGACCGCGCGAAGGAATTCCGTGACATTGGTGAGTCTAACAGGAAAATCGAGATTTTAATTCCAGTGAAGATTCTCATTGCACATTGCATCCTTTTTAGTGATAGAGTGCATCCGGAAAGTCTTCCACGAGCGATCGTTTCTCTTCAAATCGTTGGTTGTCCGACAGGTGCGGAACTGATTGCCGTGTCCACGGATTCTCACTTTTCTCATCTCGCGTGGATTAACACTCCTCGAAAGCAGGGTGGTCTCGGAGGGGCGAACATCCCCCTTCTCGCTGACTTCAACAAAAACATCTCTGCAGACTACGGAGTGCTCTTGCCCGAAGCAGGTAAAAATGAATGGGCCTCGTTTGCTGGAGAAATGCGATGCGAGCAAGGGTGATATTAGTACTCGGATTTTGGAGCGCTCCGGTAATGTCTTATTTTACTTTTCTTCGACAGGCCTTGCTCTTCGTGGACTTTTCATCATCGATCCTAAGGGCGTCGTTCGTCAAATAACGATAAACGATCTGCCGGTGGGACGCTCAGTTGATGAGACTCTTCGTCTCATCAAGGCCTTCCAATTCGTTGAGAAACACGGGGAAGTGTGTCCGGCTAACTGGCAGCCCGATTCCCCGACGATCAAGCCGGATCCGAAAAATTCTCAAGAATACTTCGGCAAGGTCAACTGAGTCGGATCTCGGCCTAACGGATGAGAGGATTCATCTTGATCTTGGAGAGCTCTCGACTCCTAGACAATTGAGGCGGCTTTTTGAGGGGCTGGCGAGGAGGTTCTGTTAGTTTCGAGAGTATCCGCAGAAGGCCACGGACTCCCCTGAGAGGGACCTCGCGCAATTTTCACGTAGTCTCCGTAAACGGCGAGATCTGAGGCTCGCTGCGTCATGAGAAAGTATTTCGTGCAATGTATCCGTAAACTGGAGTTGGGTTCTAAGAGAAATAAAAGAGAGATAGTTCTTTATTTCGGCGAGAAGTTCTTATATTTCTCAGAGAGGTTGTCATTGGAGAGACTCAATCGCCAGATCATCGCGGCAATATCATCGGGAATCGATATGTATATCAAAAACGGGATTTTAATCTTGGCTTGAGCATAGGGTCTATCGATCACATTCCTCATTCGACTGGATATATCACGAACATAAGTCGAGGTGCGGATCAATCCCTGGCGGGAACAATCGAAGATGAGGGTGCCTGAGCTCTGAACCAGTCCACTCGACAGCTCGAGATCCGTCCGTTGAGACACGGGGTTTCTCTACGAATTCCATCTGGACCGATTCACGATAGTTCCGTGCGAGGTTTATAAACAGTTGAGATATGAAGAGAGGGGAGTCTCAGCCAGGTGCTCATCATCGCTAGAACGAAGAAGAACGCAATCGTTAGAGACAACTTATACAAGTCCGACTTTATTCACAAACTACCGGCTCGACAGTCAGCCCCGAGCCGTGTCTTCGCTCTTACATCGAAAGATTCAACCATATGCCCTCGTTTTCGACTTGATTGAGATGAAAACCAGGGCCCTTTACTTCCCATGCATCTTTCTCTGTTTGACAACAATGGAATCACTGTTCCATTCCATTTGCCTTCCGCTGCAAACGTAATCACATTATTGTCACGAAAACTAAGCCGGCCAACATGCCGGCCGCGTTCCCGACTACCCACGCTTGCGGGAACAGCATATGCAGCAGGAAGATTTCCCCCAAGACAACGAATACGAGTGGTATCGCCGGAAGTTCGAAAATCAAAAAGGTCGAATTCAAGTAGGGAAGTAGCTCTCCATGCGCAAGTTTCATGGCGATGAGGATCGCTGTCGGTCCCATGAAGCACTTATACTTCATTTCATATGGATACACTCCGCCGACGCTCTCCGCCCGCACCAAGACGTACTTTACGAGGCATACGTACGCCAAGCTGGAACCTGCGGTCAGTATCAGGACCAGGATTGCGTACCGGAGAAGCCCGACCCGTCTCTCTATATTGCTTCCGACCCTCAACAAGGTCAGAACACTGTATAAGAGATGGTATCCGTTCAATGTATGCAACGGGGCAGTGAAGATCGAGGCGTAGCGGTGAGCGTCGAATACGAGATACGAGTTCAGGCATTTGCCGCCTACATAGCGGTATAATACTTTGAGCTGCTCCGGGAGCAAGTCATGATAGAAAACTCCCACTAGCGTCGCAGCTAACAGAGTCGTCAATATAGGAGGAAATCGCTGTACCTGGAAGAACGCATAGGATCGCTCATACGTAGGATTGTATCCCGGTTGTTGAGGTCTTCGATAGCCGTATGATCTGGGCTGCGCACCTCGGGTCCACTGCCGGTGGGGGTTGTATCCCGCGACAGCTCCGAAAATGTCGAAGATTGGATGAAGGAAACCCACGCTGTATGCCGTCCCCACGAGTATACCGGCGAGGTGTCCCACGAAACTCGCTCGGGGTACGAAGAGAGAGATCAGCGCCAACTCCAGCCATACGTACATCCCACCCGGTACTCTCAGATTGTAGCCTCCGATGACTGGATGAACATCGGGATAAACTTTGTTCACGACTACTTTCAGAGCGAATATCACTCCGGAGAAACCAATGGCGCAGCTTGACATGAAGTCGAAACTCGAGAAGAGTATGGCCAGCGCGTAGTTTATCGAGACCGAGACCAAAGCCACCAGTATGGTGAACACCACGAGGAGGTATGCGAAGAAAGGCGCTCCCATCACCGACTCGAGGATGATGCCCTTCCAGACGAACGATGCCATGTTGTAGTAGAGATGATAGCTGTCCGAATGTTCCAGAGCCGAGCTGAAGATACGCATGAACTCGCGCCTTTCAATGAGAGTGTACGCCGAAATGCAACATTCTTCGATAGATCGCCAGGGCACCTTGAATTAAATCGGATTTGAGCTTTTTTTCTGTTGGAACTGAAAGGGTCGCGAGGCGCATCGTCTGGGATGTTGGCACCACGTAAGGAATGACTACGAAATCGACGAAAGCTACCACGGAAAATTACGAGGCAGAAAGGGGGCGAGAACCAAAAACAGAAATTATTCGGGAGCATCAGGGTCTGTGTATCCCCTTGGATAGTAAATGGCGACGCTGAGAGACTTCGCTTATGAGACGTGTACAAAGGGGTGAGTCATGTGAGGTCTATCTAGTGTCAGAAACTGAGGAGCTTGCCGGTCTCCCCGGAAAGTCTCGAACGGACATGCATTCATAAATATGATGCTAACCTTGATGAGTCCTAGAAACAGACAAACTTGGAGTCCTATTGTTCCCAGAGTTACAGGTGGTATATTTTCGAGGCCGACAGTGAACAGGAGATGTTGCACCAGCAACAGTACCCCAAAATTATCACGATTTCTTCGCATCATCTTGATCTGTGAAAATAGAGAAGATACTCGAAGACATCCATGCTACTGACCATCATCTTATGAACATACTCGGATGACCGTATTCGAACGCATGATTCTGGAGGGTAGAGCAATAGTTCCTATGAACGACTGAAATGTCTGATCCGATGCCAGGCCCGACGCAAGCGAGCTCTCTGACTTTTGCGAGGAAGGACCTCACCCCGATTCACATGTATTCTGACTGAGATCTCCAGGATTCGAAGGGAAACATTAATCAAACATGGAATCGATGTATGAATCCGATCGCATGTCTGCGACAGGCGGAGTTTACATTGGATTTGAACATTCGGGAAAATTCCGAGTCTCATTGAGCCTCTTCTGCTGTTTCCCTCTAGATAATGCTGTCTGATTCCTACAGTTGAGAGCAAGAGGAAAACCTGATGGGTTCCCGAATACTAGAAGAGCGGAGTTACGGCTGCGATTTCCTCCGCCGGACCGACGAAGCGCCGGGATGAGATTTCATCCAAGAACTTACTGTGTTCGATTGACGTGTTTCCGCTCAAGCGAGACTCGACGGGGACAGCTGTGACAATCGTAGACACTCTTCGTCGCGGTTCCACTATACTGACACCGCAAGACAATGAGCTCTGTTACACATGGAACGGAGCGCCGATTTCAAATCTACGTCACATCACTCGCAAAAGCGTATCTGCCTTTCAGATACCCGCGCAGAAGGGTGGGTCGAGAGCCAGCGTACTTGCGAACTGAGGGATCGGATTGCCAAGTATACGTTTCAGAGGTGTCGATGGATAATCCTCCTTTGGCCGTTCGGCCCTATGCCGGAATCCCGAGGAGAGTGGAGACAAGGATGCTGCTGATGATCTCTGCTAGAAGTTCGTCTGGGCTCGGGCGGTTTCTCCTATAATTTCTCGATTCTTCTTTTGAGCCGCATTTGATCACGGATCACGGCAGAGCACACCAGGTTCGAAGCGGATCGCTCCAGGAACACGGCGGATCGCACCAGGATGACGGCGAATCACACGAGGATGCAGTTGTGATCCATGAGTGTCATCTGAGAGAGATCATATCCACATCAGTAGGCGACGCTCGAGCGCCGGAAGACCACGCTCGACACATACGTAAGCTCAAACCGACAATGCTTCCATTGAACTATTCGGGAGCAGCCCTACCGTCGGAAGAAGCTGAATCGGCCAAGCGGAGAACAAAGCAGTCCCCGATCGCCGTCGAGCAGTGAGGTAGATGAGCCCATTGGTTCCGCCAAGGATTCGAGATTCCAGCGTGGATAAGCCCTCGAAGTCTGCTGAACTCCCTGCCTAATTTTCTGAAAATTGGGACATGTTTGGGCCACGGCCAGAGCCGACTTCACCTAGAACTACCTCTGTGTCGCTTGGACCTCGATGTAAGGCACAACTCACGACTCGAGTCTCTTAAGGAGGGATAGGATCATGTCAACCTCCTCTCGATCGTCATTTTATCGAAAGAGCTAGGGGACGAGCGGCACACTTGGAAAACTAACGAACAGGGAATTTCTCGCTGACAAAACTTCCGACCCGGACTCGAAGTAGACCATCGGAATTCGAAGCAGAATCTCAAGAGTTTCCGGCAACTTTCTAGATCTCGGACAGGCGCCCTTCATAAGTAGGGGGTTACTGTCAAGGATTGTCATCGATCGATCTCCCACGCCCGAACCTCAGCGCTCCTGTCGTCGAGGTTGATCATTGATGATTTTGCGATAAATCCGGCTGCGTTAAATGATCTGACCTGTGATATACTCTTATTCTTGTTAAAACATCATGAGAGCCCCACATCGAGATGATGCATTGAGTCCTGCAGACGGACTCAATGAAGCGGAGATAGAACTCTGTGGATGATGAAGATCTCTGCCAGAAAGAGGCGGCGGATTCGGATTTTTTCTGTTCTCGGATTTTCCCAAGCCTACGCTGCGGAGTAGAGAGCGACGACGGGATGTTTCCAACAGCGTTCAAGCTCCCTGGCAATATTTATCCCCGAAACCTTTCGTTCCATCCCTCACTGCTGTGAGAAAATCGAGACACACCCAATCCTCGATTGCCTAGCTGTATCGGATGTACTCCCGATATGAGAACGAAAATTTTCGATATCTCGCGGCTTCCCTCGCATGAATACCCTTTCTTCATTGGGAATTCAGGTCTTCCGGCCGAGACCCGGCATCCCGAAAGCGATGATATTCTGGCCTGTGGGTTAGTTCTCAGCTCGGACGAATCCTCGGATCAGCTTCCGCCGACGGAAGCCGCGACCGCGTCCATGGCGTAAGTGGGCGAAGACCTGGAGAGGCGTTCGGGCTGATTCCAGGAATCCTGAGGGCGCCCCTCCACCGCTTCACGGCGCAAGAGACGGCGAGAATTCTGGAGTACATCGGGTTTCCATCGTCGTGTTGATGTTTCCCTTTCGAGAAACAAAATGCTCAGTAGATAAATGATGTAATCGTCAGTCGTTTGCAGGCTGAGCTGCGTTTAATGGAACCTAGATGAGGACGTGGAAAATCTCGAATCGCCGAACGCGGAATCCAAGGTCAACCAGAGGGAGTCAGGAAACATTGTGGCAGATACAGAACGAATAAATTATTCTACTCGAAATTTATGTACAATACGTATTCACAAAACTATCGTCTGCTGGCAATTGACGTTCCTACGTGGGTCACAGGATTTTTGGGCTTGGGAAGTGAGCCGATACCGCTGATGACAACGGATTTCGTGCCTGAACGTAGAAACGAAAAGCTTAGAGGCCTTCCGTTGTCCAGATTCAGAGTAGATTTCATAAGACTTTGTGATTCGCTAGAATCGAATTGAGAGTGGTGAAACTTACCCGTGGGCATTGTTACCAAGCCTGGAGCCGCCACGCTTCTGGCGACCGCGCTAGCCGCTGCAATTCCGCCTTGATCCCACTTCGATTTTTTCGTAGCTGCCACTGCAGAGGTCGTCGAGTCGGGCTTCTTCTTCTCCTGTAGAGCGAACGAACAACGATCATTTAGGTTGGCCTGACACACAATTCAGCCCGCTCGTGCTCAGAAAAGAATGTGGCTAGGAATAGTGTTCAATCTGGAGAGGCACAGTGCCTCTAATGGGGCATAATGCTTTTCCGATCGCTCTCTTAGTTCCGGAGTTATGTACATCGTGCGACCTCTCACCCGAAGATCGGACATCTCGGGCATCTATCGAGGACGAACTCACCTTCTCTAGCTTATGCATCGCCTCCGTTTGCTTCCGTGCGAGATCATCGTAATAATCTTCTTTCCGGAACGCGTGAGGATCGAACATTTCAGAGGGAAAGTTGCTCCCGAGCTCGTCCACGTCGCAGTGAACTAGGAGTTTCTCGTATATCGATGGATTCCTGAAGCTTTTCTTCTTTTGAATACTGTCGAGGAAATCGAATCCATCAGCGCTCCTCTTGCAGAACTCCGATATTCGCCTCTGCAACTCGTCACTGCATTTCGTCGGCGGCTCAGGAGGCAGTTGAACGGGCGGCCCCTTCTCTTGTAACAGTCGATGGTAAGCTTGGGGAGAGCTCGGTCTTGCTAGGAGTCCGTCGGAGGATGCGGTCAACTCGACCCTGCTTTCCATCGGCTTGGCGACCGGCTCCGGATTCGAATCATCGAAAGCGTCGTCGTCGTCCTCATCGTCGTCGTTCAGATCCCCGTCCGAGTCATGGCCATCGTACGCAACCAACGGACCCGTGGAACCGTTTGGAGTGATCTCTACACGGTTGTGGAGATTCTGCAAACGAAGTTGCGCCACCGGCGGAGCTCTCAGAACTCTTTGCATGTCCCTATTCAGAGCACTCGGTGCCCCATTGGCGGTCGGCGTCGGTGATTCCTCTTCCTCCGAGTCGGTATAGTGAGCGGTGAGCGATGCTAAGCCCGACATTCTGCACTTCAGTCGGAAAAGCCGATTGAGTTTTGCTTGGCGCCAGATTCTAGGAGATCGAGAATCAGAAAAAGTTCAGAGGCGGTGGCGGAATCGCGGGATCCGCCCCGGGGGATGCCGGGGTTGCAACACTTTGGGCTCTGAGAGCAGAAACGCAGCAGAATGTTTCCAGTGTACAAGGCGTCACGAGAGAAACTTCGCCGCAAACGGAGTTCTATTGATCGCGATGATGCGCCCACCTGGCTCGCGAAATTCACGTTGTTGTCAGTCGAGATGAATCATCCACGGTCAATCCTCTCGACGGAGGGGGAGAGCTCCCACGAAAGATCTTCTAGGGTATGACGGAATCTAATATGGTCTCGCAGATCGCGACATCCGAAGAACGTTCCTCTCTACTTCATTCGCAATGTTATTCAGTGGATTGCGAATTGCGAGTGAACAACACGCACGGAGGCCGGCTGCAGTCGTCTGCCCCTGTCTGTAAACATTTCGAAGGCACCCCACCGGGGGGGCGTATATTTACGTTTGAACAATCTTCCTCCATTTCGTGGCAGCAGGTCCGATCGCGGGCATTTTGGTCAGTCTTGGGCGACGTCCCCCATCAACGGGGAGGGGGTCGGAATCGGGAATGGCTCGAGAAGCTGTCCGATCCCGCTTTCATAACAGGCAGAGATCATCATAATCAGTGAAATGATTTCAATATATGACATATTGATGAATTCCATTCAATCTAAGTCCAGGTGCCGATATCTCAGAAAGTCTTGCTCGGCTCGCTCGACCTGACTTGGAGACCGAGATAAGTCTGCCCCCGCGAAGTCAGATCTCCCAGAATGAGCCGAGGTTCGCGGTGTCGGCAAGTTTCTGCATCTAGTCTCGACTCGATTGAATCTTGAAATTATTTTGAAACCACCGAAACTCTGTGTGAGTGTAATCCGCTTGAACACTCCCAGAACTCTTGAACTCTTGACCTATGATCGTTCTCTCGCGCAGTGAACTACTCGCCGGAATATCTTCGACGAAGGGCCCTGGATGAGAATTCAACTTCCGGTCCATCAGGCAGCCGCGAGCTCTGATCGGAGTTTCGCCTCGATCATGCGAAGTTGTGTCGCCTGTCAGGAATAAATCTAGCTTCGGGTAAGATGACGGTCCCCCTTTGAGGAATGTCCTCAAAGTAACTTCCAGGGAAGTGTCGGGACTCTATCCGATCCTTCGATTGAGGACTTCCGTTTCTGAAGTCGTTGACGTGGAGAGGGCTGAGGGAAAATTATCGGAGGAAAGAGCGCGAAAAAGAACTTGGATGAAGCAGTCTCTTGTCTCTGGGGCTCTTCTCGATTTTTTTCTCGGGATTTTCACCCTGCACAACATATTTGGTTGAGGGAGGGATGAGCATAAGAATTTCATGAAGATATCGTCTCTCGTCTATTGTGTAAATGTCAGAGAAACGATTCTCGTTTCAGGGATAAGCGAGATAAAGGAGACACTCGGAATGTTCGGTTCCTCGCTGAACTACGGCGCAGGACCCTCGGGGACGAATAATGAGAATAATCAGAATCCGACTGATCCGTACCACCAGACTCCCTACGGACAGCAATTGTTTCTGCAACAGCCCGTGCAGGTGTATGCCCAGCAGGCGTACAATGTCTTACCGCCGCCGAACGGAGCTCAACAAATTCTCTCCGAACATTTTGTGTTCGATGAGAGTTTGCCGAATCACTTGCAGCTGGGGTGAGCGAGCTGGGTACAGTGCATCACGTTCCCCCGCATCAGTACACGAGCTTGATGAACTTACTGTCGAGTATTCACGCTCTGCAGGTCCGGGATCGAAGACCTCAATGTCGCTGCTGGGAAGAATGGCGCCCCGTCCAAGAAGAATAGGAACGCCTCTGCCAAGTTGCTCGCCTGCGAAACCTGTACCAAAGAATTCAGACATCGCAGTACCTTGCGGAAACACATAATCACAGCGCATCGCGAAGATACGAGATCACTTCCGAGTATGCCACTCGAGGCGCTTCGTAGCTTGAAGCTGGATCCATAGATCCATCGCCATTCTTCATGAGTGAAGTGAACGGCCAAATCGAAGTGAATCTCATAGAATATTCTCGGTTCCAGGCTTCTGGTGTAACGAGACCAACTGTGACTTCCAATGTGATTGCGTGGATGCCCTGCTGAAACACCTCCGGGAAGGCCATGGACGCCAAATGGAGGCTTTAAAAATGAGTTTCGCCTCATTCAGCGATTTCTACAGGTGAGAGGGGTCATCTTTTGTGTCGCGTCGCTGAATCAGATCGGGGAAACTTCACGTGCTCCATGGAGTCCTTGCGTAGAAAGAAAAATGAAAGTATCAAAAGGATCCGAGAGAGATTCGGAACTTCAAGAGGCAGTGAAAAGATTGCTCATATTCCCAGCTGGAAGAACCATCTGGAAGAGAGCGAAAGAGTCAAATTCCTCCTCTCGAAAGGAGAAATCGTCGAAGGAGAGAACTCTACGGTATTCCACTATCAGTGTCACCGAGCTCAGGGTCTTACGGAACCCTCTTGCCGAGGTGAGTCCCCGATTGCGAACACGACCCGATTCATCTATATTTTCGCTCGGTCGAAATCGCCGTTGTAAAGTGGACGAATAGGCTCTTAGATCTGGAGTTCCCTTGCAGTGCCACCTCTGGACGTCATGGAGAAAGCTTTACAAGAAATCCTACCTCAGAATAGAGATGTCGGGAACGTCGCGCATAGACTGGAAATCGTTGACGATGACGAAATCGAATCTACCGACAGTAGGAGATCCATTCGTCGTATGCAAAACTCGTCACCTTGCGTAGCCCACATGCGAGTGACAGTTTCGCAAACTTCGGGTAACGTGGAAGTAGCTGGCTGCCGTACGCATTATGGTCACGAGCTCGACAGAGTTCCGCGACCTCCGGATTGTGTACTCGGAAAACTGCGACAGCAAATGCAGAAGCTCTCCAGAACCGAGATCGAGGCCCAGCTATCCTCGTGGACCAAGCATGATTTGACCCAGACAACTTGGAAAAACTTGGAAAATCAGTCACCTTCTACATGTACCCTGTTCGCGCAATTCCGCAGCCTTCTGAAACGCACATATGAGCACATCGCTGTGATAACAAGGCGAGTTCCCCAGTCGAGCGCTGCTCCTTTGTTCATTTACCTGGGGGATTGCGTCGGGATATGACGGGGGGGAAGCTTCCATCTAACCGGTCCTCGTTTACAGGACAAATGGTCAGTATTATTGGATGGACCCGATGGAATGCCTCGCTGATTTATTTCAAGCGGAGCATAAATTGAAAAATATCCGGGAGCGGATGACGAGTAAAGTGAGAGCGGCCGGTTGTGCCCCCTTCGAGTCCAATTCGGTCGGCATGGATCTGTGTTACTCGCTGTTGTCTTTCGCGAATGATCGTGACCAACTCAAAAAGGTTCGTTTACGGCTCGGTTTCGGCTTGTCAGGCTCCCTCCGGTGGGAGTCCTCCAAACAGACCTTTGAAAATATCGTTCCTTCCAGCTCTTAAAGCATGGACTCGACTACGCCGATGACGCTCGATCGACCGACGTGAGATACTCGACGAATTTCTCATCGCTGGCGAACTCCACCGTGTACGACCCATCTGGTGAGTTTCTTGATCTTCGGATAAAGCTCATGCTGATCTCCTGGCGAACCGAGCGCTTCCTTTCATTCATTTCATGTGCGTATCGTCCGCATGAAGAATTCATGAAACGGTACATAGGTATCAGTTTATCAGAACGGGTGGATCTGAATATCGAAACATTTGTTCCAGTTGTCCTGTTCAAGTCAATCCCAGGCGCTCTCTCGCTGCCGGAACTATCATTGGATCGGCTTCGGGCGAGCATGACGAAGAGGAACTCGCCGGTGAAAAAACAAAAATATGCGCGTCAGCTCGTCGGATCCGAGGACGACTCGGAATACGATTGCTGGTCCGACGATGAGATCGTCGACGTTGTTCCCCGTCGTTGGCAGCCCGTCACAACCGCCAAACAGGGAACCCTGGAAGGGAGACGCATCGAGAAGAACATGAAGAGGAAGATCGTTCCGGCTCTCGATATCAAGCCTGAGCTCCGAGAAAAAATTCTCGCGATGCGCATAGAAAAAGACCGAGACAGTTTAGAAACCGAAGAGATCGCCAGACCGAGGAGGACGGCAGCGCGCCAGGAGCAAAGACGGAATCCCAGGAGGAAAGCGAAGAGATCTCGACGCGCTCGAAGGGGATCCCCTCCCGAAGACACTTCTGACGATGGCTCCGACCCAGACAAGACGCCTCCACAGGAACCCGACGGAGAGGGAAGCCCTCCCGCGCAGGAGATCGTCCTGCGGGAACTCCGCGTTGAAGGCCCAGCTGGCAAGCAGGCTCGGAAAGCGAGAGTGTTAGCGTCTGAAAACGACCAGGAAGTGTCGGCAATCGTCATTGAGCCACCGACCCCCCGGCCCGAGGTACCGCAAGAGGAACCGAAGGTGCTATCCTTACTTAAGCCAAGCACAAGCTTACTCATGAAACCATCGAGCGGGCAGAGTCTTCTGAAATCCGGAGCGATTTCACTCCTGAAACCACGCTGTCCTCCGAAACCTCCTGAGCTCCGCGAGTGGAAAGCTGCTGCACGAGCAGTTCCACGGGAAGTTCACGACCGAACTTCCATCGATTTCGATGAAGGTCCTCTTCAGACTCCGCAACCGCCGCGAATCGAAGACTGACTGCTTTCCATTATATTTTCTCGATCTCCTGAAATGTTTACGCAGAGCAGGACTGAGACAGTCCTGAGGACAATCCACGATGGTCGGGCTGCCGAGACTCCATGAATTCTTTCGAGCGAGGTCGTTACATCGACAATAAAGGGGCGTACATATTATCCTAAATTAGGCATTCTCTCGTCCGAAAGCGGTAGATGCTGGTCAGAATGAGCATCGGACTCCGAATCTCAGCCCCCTTCGCACTGGATCCGAGGCTTCCATGGGAATCAGATCTTTCCCGACCGATCGCGCTGGCGTCGTCGCTTGTTCTCGATCCCTCTCCGAAAAGACCGAGGCTTACGTAAATTGCTCTTTATTGTCTAGCTTGACCACAGAGCGACTTCTTCATCACAGGCAGATCATAGATTAAGCATTCATCCCCCATACAGTTCTCAGTTGATCTCACGTTCTAACGGCTTCGAATCGTAACCCTCCTGTATCCTCGTCTCGTTCCTCATTTGCCTTCCCTAATCTATTCATAGAGTCGGCATTCCGATATCTACCAATCGTCGTAAGTATTTTATGATCCTATGCTCGAGCTCGGGAAATTCCCATGATTCGACGGAGGAATTCCCTACGCTCTTCGAAGGTCGTGGCGAATGCCGACGGATTGTTTCGCCGCTCGAGCGTTTTTTCTCCGGTTCGACATCGAATTGTTCTCTCCGAAAGGCTCGCTTACATCGATTGAGGGGTTTACCTAATAATCATCATCATCATCAGGGTACAAAAGCTCCGACAGAACTAATCACGGTACAGAAGGATTCGATTACGAGGAAAGGATCTGGAGCTGTTCACGTATGACCTCGATCGACATCAAGACCGGTTCAGATGAATTCCGACCCGGTCACAAAATTCGAGCATCTCTGCGCACCCGCCGTCAGACAAGCGATCTCTATCACTGATCGATCTACTTACACCGTGATCGATTGGCTCAAGTTCCGATGCGGTGGATGATCCTGGAGGAATTGATGTATCGAAGGATCAGTACACAACGCACCCCATGGATGGAGGGGCAGTCCGCGACAGGAATATTGGATTCCTTGCGGTATAATTAATGAGGAAGACCTATTTGATTCGTTCAATCTGTGGACGGACCGAAAAAATTTGGCGCAGAGCCTGTCCTGAGCCGTCGATGACGCGCGGGTCGCGTACTAGTGATACATAGTTTACCGGGCTTGTTGATAAGTTGGTTGATTGAATGATTGAGAGACCGTCGGCCGAACGATCAGGCAATCCGATGGCTCCGGGTTGGACAATCAGATCTCATAATCAATACCTGAATCGTCCATCGCCTCAAAGCTAGAAGAGCTGTTATTGGCCTGTGAACTATGAGGTGCTTCGGCATCCATGCCGGCTTGGTTGACTTCCGCCGGCGTGGAGGAGGCTCCTTTCTCGGCATCTGAGCCATTCTGCGACGTTGGGTCTTCTCTCCGTTGATAAAACAGAACGTACGCCTGCTTACTCTGCAAGCGAGACCTCCGGTTAGACCACAATGACCGGATCCAAGCCAGCGAGTCTTATTTGAGGGGAATCGAGTTCAGTCGAATGCTTAGAAATCTCCGGAGAATGCTCATCTGCAAAGTATCTCGACTGGTTCGACTCAAGGACCCACTATTGGAGGACATCACCCACGAGGTCTCCCGATGAAATCGACCGCAACTCACCACAATATCGTTCTCCGAGATGCTGCTCACGTTCAGATCGTCGAAATGATTCCACTTCTTCGTAATTTTGTTCTTGGCATACGCCGTGTCTGGAGGTGAAAAGGATTGGATTGGGTTAGGGTAGGGGTCGGATTATCTTCGCTGTGGAGTCGTAGTCGCTTCGATTATCTCCATTAATCAGATATCGGTAGCTATGAATGTCTTCGTTGATCTCTCGAAAGCAGTATTACTCACAGTGGCCAGCTCCTAGGTTTCCCGTGTGGTTAGCGACACCTATCAAATCGTACGGCACCGATTTGTGTTTGGGGTCTAAAACCCACTTGCCCATGGATAGATCTTTGACCGGGAAGTTCACCACCACGTCAAGCTTCTCACGGAAGTAACGATTGAACGAGAAGCGCTTCAGATGGATTATCAGTATCGGTGGCAGAGACCACAAGTTGAATCTTTTGGTCGCCTGCTGCTGCTTCTTGCACACCGGACAAAACCATAGATCATCGGTGCCGAGCTGTTCCATGGTCGTGAAGAGATCGAGACATTCGGAAAGCTCAATGGGCTGTTTGGTATAGCTTCGATTCGTTCTAGGATGGTCTCGGGACATGTAACTGGTACACTTCGATTCCTCGAAGATCGCTTCCTTCACTTCGGGCAGGCAATCTAAGGTGACGAATGCCCGCTTTTCGAGACGGACATGGTTTCTTGCGGTGGGCATGCGAGTGTTCGCCATTTCGTTAACAATGTTGACTTCGAATAACGATTGCTTGAATTTCTCCGGCCGTTCCTCTTTTCCGTCTTCGGTATCCACTTCCATCTGTGTCTCCTCATCGCTTTCGGCCTGAACTTCCTTGGGACTGACGAACCGACCCCTGTGATTATGCATCCGGAATTAGCTCGGGTATTGAACATGTGCTATGAGCTGGATAGGGTTTGGAATAAGTTCATAAGATCGACCACGTGGGACTTCTGATAGGGATTCCGGAAACCACTCACTTGAGCCATGATAGACAGGTGTTATAAATAGCATCGACCGTCGTCATCCTATTTTGGAAGTAGACGTAGAAAGGAACACCGAAGATTTTGGCATACGTGAAAGCATTATCGCTGTCCTGATTGTTTGAAATCACCCTAGTGTAAACTCTCACTAGTGATCCCGCTCCCTTCCATGGCCAACAAGGTGTTTCGTAAACGTGGAGGCTATCCGTCGTCTCTTCGAACTTGTCATCGCTGGGCTCAATGACTCGTTCTACCGTCTTATCGGCGCAAACTTGCGCGATCACCAGCTGAAATTCAAAGAGATTGCCGTCCGTCATTCGTGACCATTTCATGGTTGACAGGTTATGATGATTCGAGCAGACACGCCCATCCGGGATTACCCTGTTCTCGGATTAAGAATTCGAACTCACGTTTCTGTGTTTGGTCATCAAAGTCCTCACGATCATCGAATAGAAATCATTCCAAGTACACCTGTCCGGAGGCACATTGATCCGGAGCTTTATCGGCCGTGGATTCGTCAGCATGAACGCAATAACATTAACGACTCGTTCCTTGCGGTTGGGCAACGGCAGCGAGAGATAGCAGAAGGGGTCGAACGTCACCGAGACGTGGTCGCACTCAGGGCACACCAGCGTGGATTTCAGAAGCCCATGGAAAGTATCGACGACGATTGAATCGTTTCGTTTAAGATAATTGCTCCATGCTTCTTTTGCCAGGACGTGGTCTGGTCTGCCCTCTGAGTTCTTTGCTTCGATATAGGGTTTCTTCTTCACTCGGTTGAGGTCTTCGTGGAGGCCGTCCAGTAGGAAAGACATCAGTTCCTGACAGTCTTGCTGCATGTAACCGTTGAATTGAGGCGCAAACCTCCCGACCTGTGACCAGGAAGAACGATATGATGTTCAATCCGATAGAGGTCGAGATCGGATAAAAATGGAAGGATTAGGAACCTCGTGGTCCCACACCCACCTTCTGTTTGAAAACTTTGAGAGCGAAGGAGGTGTGGTTCCCCGACCACATGGCCTTGATTAAATTCGCGTACGACTCAGCAATTTCTCCGTGCATTCCGAGCGGATTGTCTCTGTTGATTTCGTTGACGTGCATATCCGAGAGGAAATACTCGGTCAAAACCGGCGTGTTTGACATGCACTGGAGCGCCGAATTCATGAAACACGTATTTCCTAAATTTGTGAGACCGCACAGACCGGCACCAGTGGAACTGTAAGAAGGGATTTTAGACCCCTTTGGATATCGCTGGATCTCTTTTTTTCGTCCATCTCACGACGTGGATGGGATTGCTCGCAGGACCGAGATCGATTCACCAGCGCAGGATGTCCGATGACTCCGTAGAAGTTCAGAATTATATGACATTGGGTCCTTCGCATGAGGAAATTACCTGTACGGGAAAGTCGCACTGCTGCCGGCTCCGACTGCAGCGCTGGACACCATGTAATTCTGTTCGACAGCTTTCCTCGTGTCGGGAGGGTTGCTGGAATTGCGCGGCCACGTTCCATCGGGATTCTGGACCTCAAGTACTAAAATTTGCGCCGAGTAGAGCGACTCGTCTTGGATGGTTCGGTTTTTCTCCGTCATAATTTCTAGGGTGTTTGTGCTGAACCGATTCCATAGCCGAGTTTTAGCCGATTCCGGAACGTTGAATAACTTCCGGCATACCTGCAGGGGACCAGTCGGCTTAGAGGCATTATACGGAGAGCTGTCTTCCCGCGATGAGAGGTCGAAGAATTCGATCGATCCAAGGGGAACTTGGAGGCGGCTCGACAATTATGGGAACAACCGAGACCTCCTGAACCATTCACGGAGAGACGCATACACGTGCCTCGCATATCTGCAGGTGATTTTACCTTCTCTACTTCTTCGACGGTTGCAACCTTGGAGAAGCGATAGGTTTTCGCATCTTTCAAGTTCGGGTTCAGACACAGCTTGAGTTCCATCCGATAGATTTCCACTTTGAGGTTCTTCAGGAACATTCCGAAGTCGACCACCGTGCGAGCTATCGGCTTCTGGCCCGCTGCGAGGCCGTACCTGAAGCGGAATGATATCTCATTCGAGAGCTTCTGAGAGCCGAGCGTAAGATCCGAACTCTCGGGAGAGGGCGTCGGAGCCCGGGGACGTCAGTCGTGGATTCCATCTCAAAAAAATGATTCCCGATGAATATGACTGCTGACCATTCCACGAGCTTTGTCCAAGCCTCTTCTGGCATCAGCACGTAGTCCAGCTCGTCTATTAGATGTTCTCGGAGGTCTTCGGGATTGTCGTGTTCTGTAAGGACAAGAGACGATTCGCACTCGAGAACGGTCCCGTCAGGGGGTGTCATCAGGTATCGGCGGTAGTTTTGAGCAGCGCATCGAGAGCGTCTTTTGACAGTCCGATTCAGACTTACCAATAAGCAAACCGGAGTTATTTATTGGACCAGGGTTGGCAGAGGGTTCGCCAACGCTCCCTGTCTCCCACTGATTGAATCCTACATATTTCTTCCATTGCTTGAACCACTTGTGATCCAAGAGGTACCTGCGATAAGGGAGAATCCAGCGTCAGACTACATGAATATTTGAGGAGATCAGGAGCGGTCTAAGCTCGGATTTTGTGAGAGTACCAGGATCGATACGAAGGAATCTGCTCTAGGAATCTCCCTACCGAATATATGAGCTGCCATCATTCAAATATTCCAATATTTCGTTCATTCAGTTCCTTCCATGTAACCGGGCTCCCAGGTAAGGGAATCCTAGGTAAGGTCTGATGTCACGGAATCTCCCCGACCGCGAGTATCCCGGACGCCCGAAAAATCGTTTGAAATTAGAGTCACGCGGAGGTTTCTACTTCCGCGGATATTCTTGCTTGATTCAAGAAAACGATGAGCTTCACGACCTCGATGCTTCATTCCAGGGTTGCCAAGGGAAAATGCGAAGCATGATACTAATCTCCATACCCTCCTATACGCAGCCCAGATCAGCTGATTTCGAGCCACTGAGCCGAAATATGTGTCTGCTGGCCTGGCGAGATTTTTCTGGCGCCCCTTTCAATTACTGAGATCCTAGACGAGGTGCTCGACGTGAATTACCGTATGCCGATGGAATCGGAGCACGTATACTCCGCTCAGAGCTCGAGACCTTCGCGGCTCCATTACGCAAGACTAAGATCTCTATACAGATGGGAAGATAGGTCTGGAGTCTGAAGCAGGCCGCAATGGATGTGGGTTGCGAAAACCCTGGGCATCAAAGGAGGAGTGGGGGACACCTATGAGGCACATGGACCTGATGATTGATCTATTTGAAAGATATAGGCAGAAGGCGATTGAATCGAGGGCCAGCTCGATAGTGTCTGTGTCTGTACCCCAGATTCGGTCGGGCTTGCAAACGAAGGCCTGCGTGGGCACCGTCGTCAGGGTGCAAGTCCCGATCGTTGGGCTTCGCCCGGAATTGAGTGCATTAGAATCACGAGCGTAATACTCAGAAAACAGAGGACCGGCACAGGCCGAAGGAGATACCACGATGACATCACCCAATCTTCGAACTCGTCGAGAAGCTTCCACCTTGTCAAGGTCGCGCAGTGAGAGCAATCGGAGATACTCTTCATCGACGGGAGAGTTCGCGCTCACCAGTGATCTCCTTTGGCAAGAGGTTTCTTGATCATTTTGCCGATGAAATCCTTTTGGTACTCTAGACCCTCTCCATTCTCGGGGCCCGCCGTCATTTCTCTGTGGTCGTCGACGTTAGACACCGTCATGACGGGCAAGAGGACCACCGTGTAGTCCACTCTCGAGCGACAGTTTCACAACCTCATCAATTTATGATCAGCACCTTTGATGGCAACCTCTCGCACTGCAAAGGCAGCAGTCGCACCGCTCTTCCAGTGCTTTGCTTTGCTGCTTTATTGAAAAAAGGTGTCGTCTGCTATGGATGACGACAAAAATCTTTGGCGCTTGAACGCATTCGGATTCTTCCAGTCAGTCATGCTGAACGCTCAGAATGACTGAAGGAGGGGAAGCACTTGCGCTTGTGCGCCGGGCTTGTACCCATGATCAATGAACAGGATACCGTGTACGGTCCTGAGTTCATTCAGCCGACGGAGAAATCCCACCGAGATTACGGTAGTTGGCAGGGCGCCGATACTGAATCTGTCAGGAGGCGCTCTCGAGTGTTACTCGTCTCGAGTTATTTGACCGCCAGGGAGAAATATGGCGGCAGCCGCTAGGCTAGCGGCGACCGCAGCGCCCCGATCGGCCCGCGATCTCTGACTCCTCCGCCCGCGATCTCTGGATTGTGCACCCGCGATCTCTGGATTCTGCATCCGCGATGCCAGAATCGCACAGGTGAGAATCTCCTGAGGAGTCGCAGGTGTGGAGTCGCAGGTGGCCGACCTCTCCGGCTTCCAGGCGGAGCATCAACGATCCTAAGATCGTGAACTGGATTGCTGAATATTTGGTCGCAGAGCCCGGGCTCTGGCGACGAGGCCTGCAAGAGAGCAAGCGTCGACGTCATCGATCTTGCTATCTAAGAATATTGAGCAGGACCTTCTGAACGACTGATCTCAGGAAGACGCTTTGAACAATGTCTTCGAAGCTTTCTATGCCTGAACTGCGGTCTTCTCGTCCATAATTCAATCGGGAACACTCTTCTCGACGGCATTGCATATAGAGGGTTTAGCATACCGGCTCGCTTTCCTGATTCATTCGCTCGGAACTCCGTGAGTCTCTTCGAAGGCTCCTGAAGCGTTTTCAGAAACCCCATCAGGTCTCACCGGCTTCATATAGATCACGTCCGGGGCATATTCGAGGAAGTCGGAGAGGTGATGAATTTTACCCTTTCAGAGCATGAAGCTACTCCCCCCGTTAGAGGCCGGGAGGACTTGGCGAGATCCATTTTCAACTTCACGGAACTTGGCTAAAGCCCTGAACTGGGCTCGTCACTCATGTCCTCTCACGGGAACTTCCAGTAGAGATGAAGGACTTTGAGTAATGATGCGACTTGGTCACTTCCAAAGAGGCTCGAAGATGATTATTCATCATTCATTCGGAGAGATAAGTTTTCAAGGCTGAGAGAATCCTGAGTTCGATAAGGATTCCGTAAACAGTCTTCACCAAAGCGAGGAAAGAACAGAATTTCCGCGTCAGTCAGCTTTTCCTTGTGCCTGCTCCTAGTCAGACGTCAAATGTTCGCCTGGAGCACCCGTATTCCACATTGTCCCAGATCAAATCGAGCATGTGTGGGAGGTGGTGAGGGTTCGATCCCCATTGCCTGCAAAAAGTGCAGGTACTCGGCCTTGATCCTAGGTACATTTGCTCTCTTGATCCGACCTCGGGAGCATTGTGAATAACAGTACCCTGGACATTATACCGTGGCTGTGTGGTCCAGCCCGAGAAAGTTTCAGATTAGATCGAGCATGAGTATTCTGAGTATCCTTCTTTCGTCGAATGAAGAGTTTTCATTCAATCTATGAGCGACGTCGACCGATGGGCTCGTTGTCAGAGGTAACGATTCACCAATACTGAGGAGCGACTCGGATTGCTAGGATGATGGGAGAAATCGGAAACGAGAGGGTTGCGAGCGGGAATGCGACTTACGATCATTTGCAAACGCGAGCTGACTGACATCGATATCCTAGATCCCTCCAAGAAGTCATTCAAAATGTAAACCCTCTCGTCACTTTGATGTCTGAGCGAGCTGAAGTGACTCCTGAGAACGATGTCGACCTCCCATTCGGGAAAGCTCAGTGAAGTCACGAGACTCCAACATGCCAGTCCTTGCAGCGAGACACTATCTTTATAATCAGACGACCTGAGATATAAGACCACCTCTCCCGGGCTCCAAGGCAATTGGCCCTCATGGGAGAAATCGTGCCCGATAGGACCACCTGACTCGTCCGACCGCTTTCTGGATTCTCCGCAGCTGGTCTCATTAGACAAGTTTCACTATATATTTAATCCAATCCCTACAAAAGTCATTATGCTGGATGACCATACCCTTCCAAGTTTCGAGTCTTTGATTCCGGAGAGTCGGGAAAGGCGGCGGAGGGTAAGGTCGTGGAGGAACTTCGCCGCGGAATGATTCGAAGCGAACCCTGGGAGCGGTCTCCTGCTGCAATACACTAGTCCACTCGGCATTTTTCACTAATACACTAGTCCAGCGGTTCTCAACCTGGGTTCCGCGGAACCCTAGGGTTCCGCGAACCCCTGCTCGGCTGCTCAGACTTTTATTCATTTTATCAAATTGGAATGAATTTTCTAAGCTCTAATGCATGCAGGATACTTCATGCGATCTCGGTCGAAGGTTTTGGGGTGATTAAGGGGAAAAGGAAAGATAGAGTCCGAAACCAATAATAAGGATTCCGCGGAATCCCACCAGGGTTCCGCAGGGCAAAAAAGGTTGAGAACCCCTGCACTAGTCCACTCGGCATTTTTCACTTCAAGTCGGAGACTTGATTCCCCATAGAAAAGTGTGAGGATCAGTCAGAATGGGCATCTCGGTTGGACGGTTGGTAGATGCTTCGGTACCGAATGTGCTTTGCATAGAGCCATAGCACGGTATCCGTAAAACAAGATGATGACTTTTGATGAAGTGAAATCGATAAGTTTCTCGTTATCGATGATTCATGCGTTATCTCCGACGTCAGTCAGACGAAGACGTCTGCCGAACTCGGTCCATTCTTACATTGTAGCAAGAGAGGTCACCGCTTCACGACACCAGCCGCCTTCACTTAAGAGAGGACCTCAGCAGGATCTTCCCCACTTTCCATTGTCAATGCTGTTTGCTTCCGGGGGAAAGGTGCGATTCGACGGCTTCTGCGTGGAAGCTACAGAGCTGCATCGCTAGTCGAGGACTTCACGCCAGGGAGGGGAGAGGCTTCATCAACGCTAATACGCTACTCTTGGAACTCAGGTACAGCTCATTCTCTATGTGACCTCATCGTGCAGATGGCTCGACCGAGCAGTTCATCACACGATTTCGTTACCCGGCTTGCTGATTTCTAATCATTGGCTCATCACATTCGCCTTAGAGACTGTCTCAGACGTCTTCTGGACTCTCCTCTCCGAAGGGCTGCGTCGAAAGGAACAATGCGAGGACGCCGAGAGAACGATAGTCAGCGGAGGCCTCTCGAAGCTTCGAGAGTTCGGAGTATGGAGCCGCTTTTCCGATCAGAGATTCTTTTCCGCTCGCATTCTTCACGTGATAGAGCTTGACTGGTGCTCTGCTTCAGAAGCTGTCATAAACGGAAAAACCATGGGAGGCGATGGGTTCTGAGCTGGGTTTCCGGGAGAAGGTCTCGGATCCCGTTCTCGGGGGCTCCGGAGGTCGAAGAAAATGACTCATGTTGGAATCCTGAGGGGAAATATATTCGATATCGCTTGCGATCGACCACCCTTACTGCGCCAGACTTCATTTTGACACTGACATGGGAAAGCTTGGTATTCGATGAAAAACTGTGGAATATTCTTTGTCTATTCAAGCCACTGACTTGTACTTCCGTAATAAAATCGCCAGGGGTCCCGAGCTCAGTCGAGGAGTTCCATCGCTGAAAAGAAAGCGGAAACCGCTCGGTAAGTGGATTGTTGAAGACCTTCTTGTTGCTCTCATGGAGCGGAAGAGCTTGGACTGGCCCGCCTGCTATAGTACATATATATTATCTGACAAACCATGCGCTCTGCGAGAGGATCGGAAACCCTACGGAAAAGCGTTACCTTCGACCCAGAGTCAGAGGGCATCATGGACACCGTGAGCGAGCTTCACGGCCTTAGATCGAGATTGGAGGGATCCCAGGAAGCCGAGCTCTCTCCACACTACCCGCACTTGTCGGTCTCGAGGCAACCTACGAGGTTGCGTGGTGCACGGAGTCATGGCGGAGAATGATTCAGGATACCGAGTCGGAGATCCGGTGGAGCCTCCCTGCAGCACGTCTCTTACGCGCTGCGCCGCTCTGACGCCAACGCTCCCTCAAAATTCGGACCTGAAATGATTGAGAAGCTTCATCGCTTCACGGTTCGAAGTTCGAACTCTTGACCTTGCGGCTATCGATCTTTAGGGGCAGATTTTCTTGTTCATTCCGGCCGGTGATCTCGGGGTCCCCAAGCTGCGTTTCTTGCTGGTTCGCTCATCTTGAGGCAGGTATCAAGGGCCGTCCCCGAAGGTCCAGCAGCCGTGAGGAATCAGAACCGGGCGAAATATGCCGACTGCCTCTTGGTGCCGCTGCAGACCTCCCGACTTTTCTCTGACCGTACCATGCGGCATAGATACCCTGGGCAAGCACAACGGCCTTGGGAGTCTGGTATTTGGTAATTCAAATTCCCGAGGTGTGTCTGTTAACCGAGTGAATGTTTCTGTGATTGAGAAGTCATTCGTTAAACGGAGCAATATACTGGCGGGAGTCCAAAGGTTTCTCACTCAGTTGGCGGCAAGTTTTTTTCTATTGAGTTCGCCGCTATGAACAAGCTCCGAATTTCAAAGATCGCTCGCTCTCCGACGAAGACCCACAACGGCCCGTAACGGCTTGTAAGTCCGTAGCATTCTGCGACGCCGATTGCGGATGTTCAAGGGAGCGAGACCACATGCGTCCTAGTACACTGATCAGTCTCATGATTCTCCCATCTCAAGCGCTCGCGATGGCTCTGTGATTACTTGGAGACTCGCGTTCCCAATCCGGAGACAGATACCGGAACTTCAACATCGGACTCGACTCTCCCAGTTCGTGACTCCTGTGCTCTGTGTGAAATGAGGTTTGGTGGCGCTGTGCATGTGCAATATTCGACGGTGAACTCGGTGTCTTCAACTTCCCGCCTGCTTCCGCAAGCATTGATGAGACATGATACTGTGAGGTAATGTGAGGAATTTATTCCAGAAGGAACTTGAAC